ATAGATAGGTGGATAGATAGATAGATAGAAATACGCAGATAGTTAGGTAGATAGATGTGTAGATAAATAGATGTATAGATAGAGAGACAGAGAAATAGAGAGATAGAGAAATATATAAATAGATAGTTAGTTAGATAGAAGGTATTTAGGTAGATAATAGATAGATAGATAGTTGATCTACTGGTAGTCTCGAAAACCTGTTTATAAACGAAAAATAAGTCAGACAGTTGATTGCTGTAGCAAATACAACTCAATGCTGAATTGATAGTCGCACTGTAGACTGATATATTGCAAAACGGCTGGCATCACTTGAAATGCACCTCTACCCAATGGGCCAAGGGGTGCCGAAGCGACCAGTTCCGGTGAGATTGCAACGAACGTCCACAGCGGCTTTTGGAAGCGAGGTTATGCGAGCTTGAATGGAAACGCAGATTGTAGGAACATTCAACCACCAGTCGTCTTGTCACTTTCAGCCAAATCAAGCCCACATGCAGACTCTAATTGTAGTCTCGACAACCCACTCGTGAATGAATCTCGTATTTTAACTGAACTTGGCATGAAAATGGCACTTTTGTGATGATTGAGCAACTTTGCCGGCATTGAAAGAGCTCATTCTCAGCTAGACTGGCCATTCCTTCTACTTCGGTACTATTCCAGTTCGTGTCTAACCCTCAGCTGTGGGCTCCTGAAGCCGGTCGGGGTGGAGGGCGGCAAATGATTTGATCGGGATTCCCGATATTTCAGGCTCCACTCACGTCCTCCTCTTGGCGCTGCCCCAAGCGACTTGGGAAGAATGGCCGAACGCTGCGGAGCCAATCAAATCTGTGCCAAGCCTGCATGCTCGTGTGCTGCCTCGAGGGAGGGCGTCCAGAAGAGGAATAAAGAGAAAGAATATTGCCTGACAAACCGATCTGGCCTGCGACACGAATCCCACTGAACTGGGCAGAAGAGGTGGTACGACTCGAAAGCTTCACGAGAATTCACAGTTTGGAGCTATTTTCAATTTGCCACAATATCGGCTCCAAACCCAGTCGAGTGCGGAATTCGGACGCTTGACGACACCGTAGAAACGGACTTTTCATTCTTTCATACTTTCTTTTTTACTTCGTCTCTTTCTCCTCCTCGGGTCCTTTTTGTTCTGCCTCCATCCCTACCTCCGGACACTCCCTTTCTTTTGACTGGAAAGACACAAAATTCCACAGGCTCTGATTGCTGATAAGATCGGTAGACACCGTCGGGTCTATCGAAAAGCAGATGACAATGGACGAGGGACGAGCAGTTGGTGACAGCGCAGCAAAGTTGGCGTGAGGCAGGAAAAGGTAGCGAAAAATTCGGCTGTTGCGGACGTCAGAATCAGTTCAGAGATGAAGGGACGAACCGGTCAAGTCCGGATCTGTGAGAAGTGACGCCGAAAATGCTTTGTTTGTAAAGTGAATGGAGACGAACGAAAACCGAGATGGCCGTGCCGGTGAAACAAGATGCCGAAGGGAGGCAGACGCTGTTGCGTCCATGCCCACTGGCTGCGATTTCGATCTTGCCCCGTCGTCTCTTCGAGAGACACAGCGGGGCTCGAACAGTGCCCCGCTGCATTGAATAGAAAAGAAAAGAATAGAATAGAATAGAATAGAATAGAATAGAATAGAATAGAATAGAATAGAATA